GAGGCGAGGAGATATAGAGATAGAGACGGATAGAGATAGAGATACCTAGAGATAGAGAAGGAGAGAGAGAGAGAAAGAGAGAGGGAGGGAGGGAGAGATAGAAAGAGACAGAGAGAGAGAGAGAGAGAGAGAGAGAGAGAGAGAGAGAGAGAGAGAGAGAGAGAGAGAGAGAGAGAGAGAGAGAGAGAGAGAGAGAGAGAGAAGAGAGAGAGAGCTGAGAGAGCTACAGAGAAGATGAAGAAGAAGAGGAAAATGAAGAAGATTTAGCATGAGAAGAAGAGAATGTGAGGAAGACAAAAACATGATTGAGTGATGTATAGACAAATAGATATATATTGAGTAGGAAAAACATACAGCACATGGGTGGACGCGTTTCGTCAGAGACTTTTTCAACACCCGAATATCGACAAAACAATACGAACACACAAGAACAAAGCTAGCAAGCACAGTTTCATACCTGTTGATATATCGCGTGTACATATTATGAGAATGTGCCTAAATGCAAATACACTTCCAATACTGCGCGTCAGTTAAATGGCAAAGAAAGAGAGAATACGTATATAAGACAATTCATGTTGACAGTATCTGTTTTTCTATTTAACATTTATTTTATAATCTGAGTACAATATACGGCCGCAGATTTTGCCCATTTTATAAACCCAACCCGTGTATTGATCGTTTCGTTCGTTGCAATGTATGCCGCTTCCGTCGCCTTTCTACTCCCCTTGCTTTTGCACTTCGCTATCACTTTCGCCCCTCCCCAATTCGGTAAATGATTCGTTGAGTGAGCATGAAGCACGAATGCACTGTGTTCCATGTCGTTTCTTACATCTCTCCTATGTTCCTTTAATCTTTTGTCCATGCCTCTACCTGTTTCACCTATATATGACTTTTCACAATGCCCACAGGGTACCTGATATACAACGCTAAGATCTACATTCTTACTTATTTTCTTTTGCGTGATCTCTCCTATTTTTCTGCCAGAAGTCAATGCGACTTTGACGCCTGTCGTTTCAAGTTCTTTCGCGATGTTTTCGGCTGCTTTTGAGTTCGGTAATGAAATATATCTTATGTCGTTATTTCGTTTCGCTTCAGCTTTTGCTCTGTTTCGAATGTTCAACGCTTTTTTCTTGAGACGAATGAGATAGCCTTTGGGATATTTAAGCTTCATGAAACTGGAAAAGATGTGCTCAATTTCTTCAGCAAGATACTCCTCACTACAAATACGAAAAGCCCTTAAGAAAAAGCCCAATACCACCCCACTTTTCACTCTATCACTATGACCGGAAAAGAAATGAACATAATCTTCCCGGTTTGTAGGCTTACGATATACTTTGAATTTTGCACGACTATCGCTTCGGACTACTTCCGTATCTAAGAAAGCAATGGAACCTCCCTTTTCTGTTTCCACAGTAAACTGAATCTTCGGGTCGACTGCGTTGAGTTCGTTGACTTTGGCGTTCAAATCGATCGTTTTTGGTACTACTACCAGCACGTCATCGACGTATCGTACCCACAGAACATTGTCCCCCATAATATTTTGGTACCTGTTTTGTTCCAGCCATTCCAAATACAGGCACGCTGCTACTGGACTCAAGGGTGAACCCATTGCCAGCCCGCTGTGTTGGCTGTAATCATCCGACTCAAATACAAAACCCCCAAATTTCATACACATTGACACAAGCTTAAAGTAGTCAGACTTTGCGAGCGGCAACTGGTTCGCATCGATCTTATCAACTACATCTTTGATCACTTTTAGGGCGTCGTCTACGGGTACATTCGTGAACAGTGATTTTACATCAAGACTAGCCATGTACTTATCTGTGAAGTCGAAGTCTTTAAGTCGTTCAATTAAGTCGTTGCTGTTCCGAAGGTGTGCATCACTGATGGCACCCAGACTATTCGATAAGGGCTTTGCCAGTACTTTTGCGAGTCGATGTGGCGCGCTCCACAAGGACGGCATCCCACTACGGCCCATTACGTCAGGAATCGGCAGCGCGCCACATCGACTCGCAAAAGTACTGGCAAAGCCCTTATCGAATAGTCTGGGTGCCATCAGTGATGCACACCTTCGGAACAGCAACGACTTAATTGAACGACTTAAAGACTTCGACTTCACAGATAAGTACATGGCTAGTCTTGATGTAAAATCACTGTTCACGAATGTACCCGTAGACGACGCCCTAAAAGTGATCAAAGATGTAGTTGATAAGATCGATGCGAACCAGTTGCCGCTCGCAAAGTCTGACTACTTTAAGCTTGTGTCAATGTGTATGAAATTTGGGGGTTTTGTATTTGAGTCGGATGATTACAGCCAACACAGCGGGGTTCACCCTTGAGTCCAGTAGCAGCGTGCCTGTATTTGGAATGGCTGGAACAAAACAGGTACCAAAATATTATGGGGGACAATGTTCTGTGGGTACGATACGTCGATGACGTGCTGGTAGTAGTACCAAAAACGATCGATTTGAACGCCAAAGTCAACGAACTCAACGCAGTCGACCCGAAGATTCAGTTTACTGTGGAAACAGAAAAGGGAGGTTCCATTGCTTTCTTAGATACGGAAGTAGTCCGAAGCGATAGTCGTGCAAAATTCAAAGTATATCGTAAGCCTACAAACCGGGAAGATTATGTTCATTTCTTTTCCGGTCATAGTGATAGAGTGAAAAGTGGGGTGGTATTGGGCTTTTTCTTAAGGGCTTTTCGTATTTGTAGTGAGGAGTATCTTGCTGAAGAAATTGAGCACATCTTTTCCAGTTTCATGAAGCTTAAATATCCCAAAGGCTATCTCATTCGTCTCAAGAAAAAAGCGTTGAACATTCGAAACAGAGCAAAAGCTGAAGCGAAACGAAAGAACGACATAAGATATATTTCATTACCGAACTCAAAAGCAGCCGAAAACATCGCGAAAGAACTTGAAACGACAGGCGTCAAAGTCGCATTGACTTCTGGCAGAAAAATAGGAGAGATCACGCAAAAGAAAATAAGTAAGAATGTAGATCTTAGCGTTGTATATCAGGTACCCTGTGGGCATTGTGAAAAGTCATATATAGGTGAAACAGGTAGAGGCATGGACAAAAGATTAAAGGAACATAGGAGAGATGTAAGAAACGACATGGAACACAGTGCATTCGTGCTTCATGCTCACTCAACGAATCATTTACCGAATTGGGGAGGGGCGAAAGTGATAGCGAAGTGCAAAAGCAAGGGGAGTAGAAAGGCGACGGAAGCGGCATACATTGCAACGAACGAAACGATCAATACACGGGTTGGGTTTATAAAATGGGCAAAATCTGCGGCCGTATATTGTACTCAGATTATAAAATAAATGTTAAATAGAAAAACAGATACTGTCAACATGAATTGTCTTATATACGTATTCTCTCTTTCTTTGCCATTTAACTGACGCGCAGTATTGGAAGTGTATTTGCATTTAGGCACATTCTCATAATATGTACACGCGATATATCAACAGGTATGAAACTGTGCTTGCTAGCTTTGTTCTTGTGTGTTCGTATTGTTTTGTCGATATTCGGGTGTTGAAAAAGTCTCTGACGAAACGCGTCCACCCATGTGCTGTATGTTTTTCCTACTCAATATAAAAACATGATTGTACTCACGTGCAAGATCAGCCGTCCAAGTCTGTGGATGTTGCCGCGGAAACCCTCGATGCTGTTGATGAACTTGAGGTCGTGGGCCCTGTGTGGGACGCTGATGATGAACTCGAGGGCCCTCTGGAGGTCACTGCAGTCCTCCTTTAGTGCAGAGGACAGCTGGACCAGATCCTGGAAGAAATAACGATAACTAAACACTGGTTCTAAAAAGATGGTCTATGACACTTATTGCGACCTTTGAGTAGGACAGGTGCGAGAGAACGCAGGTCTACAAGCACATTCTATAGCATCCAGCAGTTTAAACGTCACCATTTAACCCGCGCACCGACGGGGGTCTGCGCCAACTTCGTACCGACGGGGGGGGGGGGCGGATGACCGCCCCCCCCCCCTGAGATCTCGAGAACGAAGCAAGATAGCGACAAGCGGTAAACGGCAAGGGATACGCACGGACAAGGTCTACAATTTTTACTGAGATCATTTTCAGGTCAGGTCAAAGATGACGTCACAGGGGTCAAAAAAGTCAAAATGGCGGCGCTAGGTATGGAGAGAGTTTTTCTCAAATAACTTTCGAACTAGTCAATATAGGAACAAACTAAGGGCAGCATCGTGATCCTCTCGTCAATCCGCATCGAATGATATATATGTTGACCTCGAAAGGTCAAGGTCAAAGGTTTACCTCAGGTCACGTGACCTCGAGGTCATCATGTATATCATTCGATGCGCCTTGACGATCTGAACACAATGAGACCATCCTCGCGGCTGTATCTTGTTCCTGTACGGAATTATTGTCAAAAAACCGCTGGTAGCCTTTGATGACGTCACATGACCTTACAGCTGCCCAACAGCGAAACAGACCTCAAGGTAGTGAAGGTTGATCGTATATGATGTCATGTATGGTTTATGGGGCCATTCCGACCCGTTTTGGTGGTAAAAACAGGGAGTTGATTTTTCCCCAATTGACTTATAATGGGGAGGTCGAGAAATTGACCTGACCTTAGGTCATCGATATCAAAATTCCGAGATATACAAATTGTAGCTACTAATGACCTTATAACATCCTGCGACTTTCAAAGGCCTCCGACATCTACTGTAGCTCTGGCACGGTGACAAAGTTGCAAAAAAGTGACTTGAGGTTGGGTCATTCAAAATGACCTGGTGACCTGACCTTAAAAGATAGGAGGTTCAAACTTACACACCATGTGTAAAATTGATGAGAGAATAGTCGTACCAAATTTCGCGGCGCTACGCGCCGCGGTTTTCCCGCTATTCGCGAAAAACCTCAGGGGGGGCGGATATCCGCTCCCCCCCGTCGGTGCGCGTTATAATAGCTGCATGCATTCGCTTTTCAGAACACAGTACTACACCACGCTGCTGCAGGCTAACATTTCGCAAGGAACGGTAAATATTTCTCCTCCTTAAGAAACACGAGCGAACGGCCAACGCAAGCAGGCTAGCACGTTTGCTCTCGGCGACCGGAAAGCTGCAACATTTCCGCAGGATGTCGGAGCCACCAAGATCACATGAACGTGAAGAGATGCGTCTCTGATGCTTCCACTGGTCGACCAGATGTCAGAAACTATAAAAAGCATTGATTGGTGTTGATCTTCTACTGCACCTAAGAAGAAACCCGGAATGTGAAGAAAATGCTCGTATTGTGGGTAAGCTTTAGATTAAGTCTCATGGAAGATGGCCGAACCGTTCACTCAATGCCGAGTTCATTGTGACTTAAAACTAGATAATTAGTTTAAGAATCATGACCTCAAGCAGCAATGAAGAATGGCCGTGAAGTCACAGCTTTGTATTAGCATTTTCATTCAAATCCAATGTCTGTATATTCGCTGTGCGCAGGCCGCAAGATGATTGTTTTTTATGGCTAATATTGGCGTCAGTTGACGCTGAAAACCACTAGTTTACGTCTACGAAAATAAACGAATGGCAGTCATTTATTTTTCTTTGACGTGACCGCCGGACGAGCCGTCGTAGCTTCCATTTGCTCTGCACAACAAACGACGATCAGCCTCACTAGATAATGCTTTCCGAATTTTGTTGAAACCACCCATGCCGCTATTTGGCCACCCACAGCCCAGGTTTCGCTCAGGCATAGATGGGTGGTGCATTGCGGTACAGCCTATCATCCTCCCTGTGCTGTGGTACAGTCTATCCCGCAGTATCTCGCCGGAGACCAGCCGCCCTTCAGTATGTAAAGCCACCATTTCCGTCGATTTCCTCTTCCTAAACCACCGCCCAGTGTCCACCGTATCGCCCTACTGGCCCAATGAGAGCCGTCATGGTTCAAACGGACGGCGACAGGTGCCCCGGACCGTGCCAAATGGGAGGCCATCCGTAACGCCAGCAGCCGCCGGGCCGTCCGGACCCGGGCCAGACACAAATATCACCCGCTCGGCGCCTGTCCCCAGGGGAATTATGGCTGTGTATTTCATAATTCTTCTGCGATTAATTTGTGATTAATCTCACCAGCCATTCCATCGCGCTAGATTTTGAGCTGGCGGCAACCTACCTGCTTGTTCTGAAATAGTTCACAGTTCGTTGGACTAATGTGGGCATAGCTGGATTCTTGGCTCTTGCAACACATTTCACATACAAATGTTAATTCGACTTTGACCGACAAACCATTCAGCGGCACATCATTGGTGTCCTACATTACTGAAATCCTTCATCACCACTGACCCTAAGTCACTGACAAGAACTTCTACTCACCTTGAGCAGAAGCTGGTAGTCGTTGATGCGCTGAATCGGCAGCCGCAGGTGATCGCTCAGAGCCTTATCGTCGTGTAGTGCCGCGGCGTGCTCCTGAAGTGGAGGGCAAATGACGTCATTGGTAGGTACTCACATGACGTCATTGGTACCAGGGACGTTTTGGGAACGTTTACCGACCGTGCGGTGGTGAAAGAACTCGATTACAACAGAGGCAGGGAGGCGACAGTCAACGGCGGGAGGGAGAACAGACTAACGTGGGCGTCAGAACCGAAAACAAGTGAGCGAGATTTATTAGGTTAGGTCGATTTTCCTGTTATTTAGACCGAAATGATTTTGTAGGTGATTGATTTTAAGTGCTTGAATGATTTTGTTGGAGGAAGCTGTCAAAATTTGATTACCTACAATTCATCCATATTGTTACGAAGAGATTTGACGAGGTTCAGTGGGCCTAACGAAGCAAAATCAAACGGGCTGTGGCGAATACATCTTGCTGTCGTACTGTAGTAAGGTTACGTAGGCTATGCATGTAGGCTTTTCATTTCACTGAAGTGCAACTGAAAAGATAAATGGCAAGAAAGCAACGTTCTATAAAATTACCGTTCCGCAACGGTAATTTTATCTACTTCACACCTGTCCAGAGTGAAGTAGATAATCAAATGGCTGCTATGGAAAAAAATTAAGAGCACACGAAAACAGTTCATGTGCCAAAGTCGATAGCTCATTAGGTGCTCCCGAGCGTACCCACATCTGTGATCTGACATTATGAAATTACATGCAAGCCAAGTAGAAGCTAACTTTGATTGTTATAAATTTATCACTTTCAAGCCATTTCACAGGACGATGTTGAAATGCCTGCAGTCTCATTCATCTGGAAGTGCCCGGGTAATCACCTGGTTACTTCGCTCCGCAGCGGGCAGCTCACCGCTGACTAGCTAAACTCGCTGGAATCACTTCTCACTCCGCTCCACTCCGAGGTCACGGTCAAGGTTACGAGGTCACACGACGCTCTCTGACTCTTCGCAAGGCTTCTGTGCAGATCACGCTCTCGCAAGCACGGCGAAACAGAACGCGCCGCGTCGACAAACTCCTCGCTATCGACTCGGGATCGCTACCACCGCTCCTGGGCCTGTTGACCTCCCCCGGTCGCGGGAGGTCAGCGTATCGGTCTGACTGGGTCACCCGGCTGGTCGGCGGCGGCGGACGGCGGAGGGTCACCACAGACGGCTGGCGGGCGGCGCGGCACTGCCCGACAGACGCCCTCGGCCCGGCCCGGTGACACTCGCCCGCGGCGCCGTCCGCCGCTGGCACTCGCGTCGCGCCGGCACGCCAAAAATCGCCGCCGCCGCGCCGGCCCGAGCTGCCGGAGCCGCCGCCCATAGCCGGGCCACCCCCGACGGCCGCAGCGACCACAGCGACCGCGGGCCGCGGATAGGTGAGCCCGACCGAGACCGCAGGGAACTGAGAAACTGCCCTGATGATCGGTATTGGTTATTCTTCATTGGCCTTGCTCATCACGCCATCATGTCTCATTGTTATCTTTCTGACGGTTTTCGTAAGGCGGCTCCTAAGCCGGCAGCGCTTGGCCGGCTCTCTGTTGGCGTCAGCTGCCGCTTTGGCACCGGTTCCTGCCTTCCTGGCGACTCCCATAGGCCAATGGTCGACACTGTTCCACCGCCTATACCTCACATGCTCATTAAATGTCCCACTCTTTGGTTTACTCGACCCTAAGTTAACGTTTGAATGCATCGATGGGATTATTTCTTTAAAGTACTCGCATCAAACTGCTTACATAACTGAGTAGGTTTTCAGCACGCTGTTCACTGCTCAGTGTTCACTGTAATATGATACCAAAATGTTGATTGTTTCGACAGCCGCTGAGCAACAGGTGCATCGCTCATGACACCGAGATCTTAAACTTTTGCCAGAGGAACGCTGAAGAACAATGCCTCAATATCACGGCCGTGACCTCGCGAGATGAGTCATGGCTGAGTCACGATCAACACAGCGTTTCACGAGCGGGGACGAGCCAGCCACGACCAATCTGCAGCCAATTCGAGATTCAGTCGAGTCGGCGGCTGACCGAAGAAGTGACCCTACAGTGCACAGCGACGCAGTAACGTTCCTTTCACACCGCCCTGAGCCGACAAACTGAGCGTTCCAGTCACCTCCAGCAGCACCACGGAGTTGTCCCCTACCGAGCGAGCTCCCCCACGCCGTCTCAGCTCCCCAGCCGGGGTGAGCGGGAGGAGGGATGGCTCCCTCTCCTCAGCTGGGTGTGAGGGAGGAGGGGAGCCTAAACTTGCACCTGAGCCTCCCGTCACCCCAACAAAAGCACATCTGGTAGGTGGCGCCGGCACTCTGAGCTGAATGCTTCGAATGCCTCCCCAGCAGACGAGCGGCAGAAGCCATTCCGAAACCGGCAGCGAGCTAATCTATCACCTCTTTGTCTTTCGTCGCAGATATCAGCATTGCTGAGGGCTCTCGAGTCTATTTGGGTTTCTGTGGTCGACTTCAGCCTAGTCTTGAGGATCATCGTTGATCTTGGTGGATCATTATGGCTTTGGAGGGTTGGATGCTTCTGCACATGTGGTGTTGGTAATTTGATGCAGCACAAATACCCTAAGCAGGGCAACTGTGCTGGCAGGATGCTGTTTGGTCGAGAGGAGTGCGATGCTTGGTGACGTAATGGATGATGTAATAGGATCTGATGTGTTCTGTAACAGATACATCCCACTGAAGCTAACGAAGGGACAGACGCTCATTTCTCTTTAGAATGAGCAATGAACATTGCTATTGAAAATCAGTCAAAATTTCTTTTTAAGAAATACCACATGCGCTGAATAAGGTTCTGCGGGCTTAGTGTTTAAGTCAGTAATTGATCGATCTGAGGGTGACAGCTGTGATCAAATGTTCTTATTGATTGCATGACCGTATAAATATAAAGTCCACAACAGTGAGTGCTCAGTGTTCACACTTAACATGTAACGTTGAACAACCGCAGCCCCTACAAATCATTCAGGATCACCAAACTGCACCATTCTGGATACGCCGATGACGTCACAGGAAGTGATCTGCTGACGTCAGCAGTCCGAGCCACGCACGTCATTGAGACTACAGACCTCTGACGTCATCAAACTTGGCTGACTGCCAGGGACAGCCCCCAAGCACTGTCGCCTCCGCATACGCGCAAACGTCGTCAGGCACTGTCGAACAGACAGGTGCTGCCAACAACACGACGTATGTTCTTGTTCCAGTTTCTTGCAGACAGACTAGCTCAAGGCTGGTCACGGCAAGTGGCTCCGTTTAACCAGGTGGTTGCTCCGGTTCCCGAGTTTTACTTCATTGCATCTGCATGTTATGTTTTCTCCCTCAAATTGACCGATGCTATGCGCAAAACGAGTTGCTCAGCATCGCCTTAGTAACTTGCTTCTGCTTGTCTGCGTTTCAAGGGCCCCTTTCCCTCTGGCGAATCCTGTAAGTTTGCGTGAATTACCGATTTTGCTACTGTTGGATTTGCAGGGTTATACAAAATTCAACGGCCACAGCAACAACAACAGCAGATAGTGGATAATGGACACACACCAAACACGTCAACTGGGATGAGGCAGATAAATAATACCTACCGAGGTTTTGGTATTATTTTCTTAACTAAGCGAACAAAAACTGAGACTTTTCTTCAAGTTCTTTCGGCCACCCATTTTGAGAGTGTGTTATTTCGCCGATCGGTCTGACGAGTGAGATTTCCACAGTAGGCCGCCGGAATGTGGCGAATGATGCAGTTTTGGCCGCCGCCCACCGCCCGACGTGCCAGCTTACATCGGAAAGACAAATCGACCTGCAGCGGGCACCGGCGCCGCGTCGCGCCCAATTGCAAACGACATGATAAATATTTGCGAGGATGGGAAGTGTAGGGTTTCTTTATTTTAAATAAAATTAAAAGTGGTGGGAATGCTTATTTAACTAGTAAGGTAGACAGTTCAGTTCTCTTAATCATTACGCACGATTCTTTACGTATACATAATCACGTAGCTGATTCTGTCTCTCAGCTACCACCTTTGATGGTCTTGGTCTCCCTACCAGACCATAGAGCCTCCCCCCCCCCCCCTGGCCGGGACACCCTCCCCGTGGTATGCCATCCCTCCCCCTCCCCTCTCCCCCAGCTGGCTATTTCGGCCGCCCCGTCACCGACGCTCCGCCCCCGGCGCCGCCCCGAGGTCATCTGACGGAGGCCCCGCCCACTGACTGCTGGTTAGGGGAGATGCACGGCGCACTGGGGACATCTGTACGCGGAATAGTGCGAACTGCGAGACGTGATATCGTAATGGGGGCGGAAGCAGTACACCTTATGATGGTTGCATTTTCGATGCTCCGAAATATTATACATTTATGAGAAACGAGAGAGGAATGACAATTATATGAAGATCTTGCCTAGGAAAAATCTGCAAGACCCAGGGCTTCTTGTCAGTCATCCCCATCATACTTCCTTGTAGCGGGATGACGGTCACTTCACCCAGATAACCGGTGAGGACAGTCCTAATTGAGGCACACCGCTCCGGAGTGACCGTTTGAGCATCTGGATGGCCTCTCTCCCACCGTCACATCCCCGTCGTAACTTGACGAGCCCAACCACTGCACTGTGGCACACCAGTCGGTGCTCGATCGAGTCTACCCATTGTCTCCCCTGGTCTCATCATACGGCTCTGAAATGGTCTCGACCGACTGAAAGAGCTTAAACAAAACAAAAACAAAAACTATTCCTGAATTTCGAGAGAGATAAAAACTAGCGATGTCTAAATGCCGTATAGCGTCCAGGATTCGTTGAAATATCCCACGAGCCGCTGGGGGGGGGCATAAAGTTGCCCCCCCCTTTACGTTTTGTGAAATATCTCCGAAACCTGATGAGCTACGAACGTGAAACTTGCCATAGCTTCAAATGAATACCTAGGCAATTGTTTGAGAAAAGTTTGGTGGTTGTAGCACCTAAGATGACGTCACAGTGACGTCATACAGTTTTGTCGTTTTCCAATATGGACCGTTTCTGACGACGCTGAGCATGAAACTTAACTGTAAATGAACTAGACAGCACCTGCTATCATCCTAAAACATCTAACTACACTTCAATCTAGTTTCTGACCAATAATCGGTCCTTTATATTCGGTCCCATATATCTGATGTATCGTGAGGAATACGAGAGTCGCAAATCTATAATTTCACATATGACGTCACTGTGACGTCATTTCAAATGGGATCAACACCAAATTTGGACACAACCTCGGCTAGGTATTCAGAAAGATGTGTGCAAAGTTTCGCTTCTCTATCTCTTCGCGTTGCGGCGATATCGTCGCAGAAGTAAAGGGGGGGGCAACTATATGCCCCCCCCCCCCCCCCAGCGGCCGGCGGGTGGCGAGGAGGCCCAGCGGCCTCCGGGATATAAAAGCGCGACCGAACGTATAAAACGTCCTGCGCCTGCGCGAGTCATTACAGACGGCGACCATTCTGCTGCCATCGCCCACCTGAAAGTGTTGCGCCAGTAGCTTGTCCGTCTCGAGCAGGGTCTGGGCGGTCGGCTCGTCACGGCAGTAGATGGCGTGCTTGTCAAAGTCGGGCGCCTGCAAAGGAAAGAAATACCCGAAACAGGACGTTCTGTCATTGTAGCAGAGTCTATTGTGAATTAAAGGAATAATACGAATATTTGCACTGGCACATTACCTTGGGCCCAATCGTTTAGCTAATTGAATCCATCAACCAAAAAATCGTTGAAACTCGACGAGATCATCGCATACACAATATGGCAAGGAGGTATTTCAGTATTTGTGCTTTATCGAGTCATTTTCCTTTTTACTTCTACAAGCCGCAAATCACGCTTGCTTTGCAGAGTATTTCAACGATTGGAAAGGCCTAATCTGTGTCAACGTCCGTGGAACTTACCAGGCGAAGGAAAGTTTTCCCGATCAATAATGGTTTATCGGCGTAGTACTTGATGCCTTCCAAAAGTTCCCTGAAGAGAAAACAGACAGTTGAGTCACCGCTAAAAAGTACGTCGTGTTCATATACCGTTAATTTTCTTCGAACAACCAGATTATTATAGTCAGTTTATGGGAAAATGTTGGGAAATCATTAGCTTTCCGGATGTAAGGATAGTTTGCTGTGCTTATTTGGTGATGGTATGTGCTGAGGTGAAGAGAGCCGGAGACTGTTAAAGGGAGAACCTCTCGACTAGCCTGAGTCAATTTACACTAACCTCTGGTGGAACTGGCAGAGCTCCCTGAAGTTGCCAAACAGCGCCTCCTTCTTCTCTCGCAGGTCGCGGGGCACACTCGGCGAGTCCAGGTGGTGGTAGTAGTTCTCCAGGATGTACTGGGTGTCCTTCACGAATTCCTCCTCGGTCTCCAGCAGTTCGCGCACCACCGCGCTGTTACAAGACAAGATGTCGTACCTCCATTAGATATCGTCCTAGTTTTGTAGTTCGAAGCCAATGCAATCACAAACTAAGCTTACCCTGTCCATCGAGGTTATTTAGAATGAGTTCGAATTCGAGTTCGAACAATGACAAAATCACGATTTATTTGTGAACCATCGCTCACCTAATGCTGCAGTAAAATAAAATGTTGATCGCATCAATCCGGTAGTTTCAATCATCATTTCGCCTACTTTTCTCTCATCCCAGCCACTCACGCCCTCTGGTCGTCGAGGTGCTCGGTGGCGCCACTGCCGGCCTGCCGGCTGGTCTTCCGTCGGCCCCGCGGCGTCTCCGGTGCTGCCCCCTGGGCCGGGTCGGAGGTCCCCTCAGCGCGGAGGACGCTGGCCGGCACCAGGCCCTCTGCCGGCGGGGAGCTGGTCCGGGGCCGCACCCGCACCAGCCACCTGGCGGAGAAGAAATGAACTACTGTCAGAGGGCAGATGGGTCGGAGCAAGGGCGATGGCCGATGGGCGGTCGCGAAGACGAATAAAATCCGGATTTGACCTCCAATATCTTCTAAATACTTGCATGCCCAACAGCACACACGAGTCTTAGCAGCACATAACTACCTACATAATTTCATGAATAATGAATTAATCCAGACATGATGAATTATAGCAAGCACATTTTTTACGGTTGCTTCCTGAGAGGCAGCCATCTAAGTCATCGGTGATCTCAGCCAGCACAGCTACTTAACAAGCATTAAGCACTACAAAATTAGCTTGGCAGGTATCCATTTCGGCACATCTAGGGACGATGTCCTAGCCTCTCCGACGCTGACCTGGTCTCCTCTGCGGAGCGGCGCCTCGGACTGGCGTGTCGCCGCGGCGGCCGCACAGACATCCGGTGCCGGGCGGCGCTGTTATCCAGCAGCTGTTCGGCCTCCAGGTCCAACTCGTCATCGTCCAGTCGCTGCCGCCTACGGGGAAGGAGCGTGCGCTCTAAGAGGTCTAGACGGTACATGGGTGAAAGCCGGGCGCCGCAAACTGCTCAGCTGCCGCTTAACGGTTCAGATTCGTTCTAAGCAAATTGATTATTTAGTTAGATATAACGCTCGTACGAACTATGGAGAATGTCATCTTGGAATGAGATCGTTTGAAAGCGGCCCTACGTCCCGAACTCCTTCACTGTACTTGTGGCACGTGGGTGGAAGCAAGAGTACTGCGGTGGAAGCGGCACACAGGCACGGCACGAGCACGGGCGGGTGCGGGCGCGGGGAGACACGCCACACGGGTGTGGAGTTCGAGGCACCGGCTGGGTCAAACAGTCCAGCACTCTCGCTCTACACTCTTACGGGCGACTCCATCAATTAACCCGCGCCGTGCTGGGGGGGGCGTTTTTACGCCCCCCCCCCTCAGGTTTTTCGCGAATATCTCAAAAACGGCGGCGCGCAGCGCCGCCGTTTTTGGTACACGTGTTCCTACATCATTTCCGCACATGTTGTGAAAATTTCAGACCTAGGCCGTTCAAGGTCAGGTCACCAGGTCACGTCAAGTGACCTTACCTCAGAAAAAGTTCAAAGGCTCGCTATAGCTACACCGACTGAACGATCACTTTGAAACTTTCAGCGATTGATATGAGTAACAGTATGTATAAAATGTATATCTCGGATTTTTGATATCTGTGACCTAAGGTCAGGTCAATTTTGCGACCTCTCCATTATAAGTCAATGGGAGAAAATTGAAATGCGCCTCTTTTGGACGAATATCGTTCAAAACGCTCTCAAACATCGGTTCATAGGTAAACATGACACACTGAATAGGAAAAATGCACCTGTGACCCCTCTGTGTGCCCCTGAGGTCATCTCAGGTCATGAACGGTCGCCAGCAGTTTTTTGGCTATAACTTTTGATAGAGACGTGCTAGAGCGGTGAAAACACGTCAGATGTGTTCAGCTCGACGATACGGATCGACTGATATGCAACGTGACCCTTTTCGGTCAGGTCATGACCTTGACCTGAGGTCAAATTTTCAAAATGACCTTTCAAGGTCAACAAATAGTTCATTCGACGCGTCTCGACGAGAGGAACACGATGCTGGCAAAAGTAATGTCATGGCGCTTATGAGTCAAAAGTTATTGACGAAAAAACGTTTTTCGTAAAAACGGCTATTTTTGGAGTTTTTGCCCTCTGGAGGCTAAACCGTTGACCTGAGGTCAAATCTGAGAACATTACTCAGAAAGGTCTGTAAAAGGGCTATCGAATGCGCTTTTCCGCGGCGCTGTAGCTCTATCGGTTCCCGAGATAGCCGTTGGCAGTTTCCAAAATGTTGAAATAGTCAACATTTTACCTTTGGTGACCTCTGGTGACCTGACCTTTGACCTGACCCAAAAAATGACCGAAGTGTTTTCGTCCTTATTTTTGACGCTCTTTCGATTGCCGCTTACCGCGTGTCGCTACGTGGCCCAGGAGCCGAGTTAGACGGGGGGGGGGGCGTGAAAACGCCCCCCCCCCCCAGCACTCGGCGGAAAGTTCAGGCCACCAGCACGGCGCGGGTTAAATCCAGTCTTACAGACTAATAGGGAATTCTATGCAATGAATTGAATTCATAACTACATCGCTCGGTCGGTCCGTTTACCATACAGCATTTTATTTTGTTTCGTACCAGGAATTGTTATCAAGGCAGTGCTATTTCCCCTGGCGTTAGGTATGAGGATTGAGATAACACGGTGTTGCATCTTATGGTAACCTTGCCTCATTTTAATTCTAAAAGAAAATGATAATACAAATCCAGCCGTCTTCAATTCGTACCAAGACGCACTGGCGGATCCGGGAGGAGGGGCATTGGGGCAAATCATCAAATGCTCCTCTCCCCCCCCCCCCCCCCACCGCAGCGCCCGAAATCGACGGAATTTTGCGTTTTCCGAGACTGAAACGAAAACTAAACAACGTTTATCAGAATAAGTTTGTTTTAAGCTGCACAGCAGTCCGTAAGGAATCGGAATACGGTGAGTTTTTGGAGTTTGGAGAAACTTTTCGGGAGTATGCCCCTCCCCTCCCCCTCCAAGTCCAAGACCGCCTTTTCGGATCCGCCAGTGAGAAGACTAATGAATTACCGAAACGCAACCTCTTTCAATTGAACCCGATCTCACCTCGATGTCCCGAGATTGGCGCTTCAAAGCCTTCAAAGTTCAGTCACCAGCCTCCAATCATCCAGCGCGCGTTGTCTCCAGCCACAACAATCACTGAATCATGCTCCCCCCCCCCCCCCCATCTCTTTCACAAATCACAAGGTGACTCACGCAGAAACATCGGAAGGAACCTTACTTGCACTAGTAGTAAAGTAATCCAAGTAATCTGCCTTGCACAGAAATTCGCGCCGCTTTGCTCAATCGGCGCGAATTTTTTGTTGTGCCGGCGCAGACGCCGCGCGACAACAATAGTCAATACGGCACGTGCAGCAGAAGCATCAGCTGTTCACCGTTCAAGGTCAATTGGTCGCCCGGAAATTGGCGCCAGAAAGACAAGTGGAGGTTGAGTGGAGTGAGTCGAGTGAGTGGAGGGCCTTGGACCGTCTTGGACAAGTGGTAGTTGGCACATTGAGTTGGGTGGCGGAGCCGTATAGGCTGTTGGGAATGGATACCAAGATACCCCTATAAGGAACCGGGAGACTATCTGTAAGAATATTGGGGGAGACGTGATCGACGTGATGACGGCTGCTGGCTGGTGAGTCATGAGACCTGGGAGGCGGGAGCCTTGCTGGGAGTTCTGAGAACATTGGTCATAGGCGCGGGAGCCGGGGGGCAGTGGGGGCAGCTTGCCCCCCCAACTCTGGGGCCGTGGGGGCGGTGCCCCCACAGCTTTGAGACGGAATACCACACTTTTTTTGCAAATGTTTTCTTTTTTTTTGTTGAAAAAGCCGAGGGGTGAAAAATAAGTGGCCTAAAACCGGTGAGAAAACTAGATTTGGGGGTACCCTAGGTTAATCTCTATTATGGTGTGCCCCCCCCCCCCCCCCAGTCGGAAAGTAGTTCCCGCGCCCCTGACATTGGTTGCTCTGTGTGGGTGTGCACAGTTTTATTAATTCTTTCCATAGGCGCGTAAAACTTCAATGCCACTTTGTAGGAGCCCCAATACCCCTACGAAGAATTTCTTTGCAGTTTTGTACTCGTGTCACCTTGCTGAACCATTTCCTGCTCTTATAGTTTTGTATTTAAATCAAAAATAAAAATTTTACTTTAAAGAAATGGCTGAGAGTTGGGTGGTCAACCCCCCCCCCCCCCCCCGACTTGTTGCTACGCCCGTGTGCTTTCAATTTATACCTACATTAAAGGAAAAGGGCCACCTTTAACATGGGGATTGAAACTGAGATAGCCATCTTGTAGCCCGTGTCCGAAAACCAGTCTGTCTACCTCCTTACGGCCGATTTCGGCCTCCATTCGTAGTTATCGGCAATTTTAAAAGAAAATACGCCAGGAATGCGTCCTTATCCCAGGAATGCGTTCTTATCCGACAATACAGCCACCCGCGGCGAGGCTTTGGTTTTTTACCAATCAGCTCCAACCAGCTCAGCTTTAACCAATCAGCTTATCCGACACAATCCGACGAGTCTGTCTTCTGAACGCTGATTGGCTTGAGTGTGACGTCATCGCTATGCCATCATACAGTAGGTGCCGTAGAGAGTATCAACATAGTACCAATATGTTAAATAGTTTTGAATACTTTTTCGCGAATTGTGCACTTCTGGCACCAGTTTTAAAAAGAAAATGAAAAATAATAATGTCAAAATGAAAAACAACGATATCTTCATATTTCACGAAGGTGGCCCTTTTCCTTTAACTAGCCTCAAACCTGCATATCTGAAACTCAAGCTGACTTATTTCAAACCTATCCTCACGATTAACGAAGCCCGATGTGATATTCAGCGAAAGTGGCGCTTCCATTTGCGGGTGAAATGTGATGTGCTCCCCAGCAATAATTGGAGTATCTAGGGGGAAGTCGAAGAATGTCCCCCCCCCCCCGTGCCCGAAATCGATGGCAAATTGGCATTGCCGTTCAGCGATGCACTGGCGGCTCGGAGAGGGGGTCGGCAAATGCTCCCTCCGCGCCTAATGTAGGTATGCGACACTGTCCGTTGCTGTTTGTTTGTTTTTTTTTAGATATAGAAAGAAAACCTACTTTTACCGGGCAAGATTTGCCTTACACGGCACAACACAGCATAACTAATCGATATCGGAGTTCTTGAAATGTGTAAAAACTCAGTGGCGGCGGAACACCTTCAATTAAGGGGGGGGGGGTACTGCCGACCTTTGGTCCCATTCTTTCCATGCAACGCCCATAGGGCTGATGTTAAATTGCCAAAATCAAAGAGGGGCACGGTGTTCCGGTGCAGCCCCCCCCCCCCCTCCCCCGTTCCGCCGCCTGTGTAGAAACTGAAAGGCACGCTCTACCCATCCCCACCCTCTCCCCCAGTTGTGAGACTCCGATACCACCTTTCCGGATCTGCCCATATCCAAGTAGAAGGTTATGTCGGTTATGCGTGCTATACTGCCTAGATAGCATCTAAATCAGCCATACCATGTCTGATCTAGATGCCAGCAACCGAAACTGATGATATTTATCGTTTTGACTTCGACCTTTCTCCTGTCCCCAGCTGGCATGCGACCTGATCGCCCTGAGTGAGTGCCTCAGCGCGGCGGCTCGGGGGCGGCTGAGGTATTTGCTAGCCCATCCTCCCCCGACGCAGCGTGTGCGGCGTCAGCGTCCGGCCGCGGTGGGCCGCGTCTGGTCGTCCCGGTTTCGAGCGCCCCACATCAGCTTACTCGGCGCGCCTGCTCGACCGTACGAGGAAAAGGTGGGTGTGGGATGGCCTGGGACACTGGCGGATCCAGCTCAGAGTTTTGGGAGGGGCAAGCCATAACAATAAAGCGCTTCTTCCCATGCACTGTCTATAGGCGTAATGTTAAAATTTTGCTGTTTGGGAGGGCAATTGCCCTATTTGCCCTCCCTGGATCCGCCACTGGCCTGGGATGGCTCGTGGCAAATGATCATCAGAGATAGCTATATCCCAGGTACCTTTTCTTGAATGTCTCCTGGAGGTTATACGATGTAACCAAAGGTCAGATGAAAATTTTAGGGCGTAAGCTTTTGTGAAAGCCATGATATAACAGACGTGGAAGGTCATACTCATTTTCACAACAATGCAAAGGGGCTGCTCTATTCGCAATCAATCATTTTTCTTTTTTCATTACATTGGCTCGAGGTCAAATTTCAATTTAAACCTTACAGTCGGGAAATTTCATTGGCGTAACCAAGGGGCCCAGGAGGGCACGTGCACGTGCTCCACATCCCCCTCTCAAACGGGTTAGGGGGCTTCGTGCCCGTCGGGTCCTACAGTACCAATCGCCATCTGAGGGTCCACACAGCAGATCAAGATGGTCTGGGGGGAGGGCAATGGGCCCTGCCCCATGGACTTTCTGTTCACCATCTATCAAAAAAAAAGTTTCTGGCTACGTCGCTGTGATAGTGCGTGTCGACTGTCGATGCTCCAAAGAGTGTCTGTACAGAGTCTATAACCCGCGCCCCACTGGGGTCTGCGTATAACACGCCCTACTGGGGGGGGGGGGGCTATTCATAGCCCCCCCCCTCCTAACTCCGAAACTACTGGGCCGATCGTCAAAATTCAAACGGCGTCTGATAGCCCCGGAAAAACTGTCGAGCGAAACCTAATTTTGTTGACCTCGAGGTCACCGATGACGTCACAGGTCAGGTCAAAGTAAAAATTATTAGCATTTTGGCTTGTTCACGTTTTGGGCTGTGGCCGCCGTCTTAAAAGTCAGATCAGGCTCATTTTTGGTTCACACACTCGTGAACAGATGCTCTAGATACCCTGAGGGTACCAAACTTGTACTTTGATTTTCAGGTCAAGGTCAGGTCATCACAGGTCACGAAAATATTATGTCATGCGTCGGTCACGTGACACATGTTTTATGGTCCATTTAGGCCATAGATTTCGAATTTGATGTCGTCTGTGTCATTCAAGGTCATTTTGAGTCGAATTTAGCTTAGGTCAGGTCACTTTCAGGTCAAAAAAGGTCAAATTTTGAAGTTATAATTTTTCAACAGAAAAGGTGTCTATTGGATGCAGTTTGAGCTCAGGAACACGATGGTGCTATTTATATTGGCGTACGATGTCAAATACGTGGGGAAAATTGATTTGAAAAATTAATATTTGTGATTTTTTTGCAATAATGCGTATAACTTGGCCATTTTTGAAGATATTTAGCTAAAACTTGCTAGAGTTAGTCATAATAACGCGTTCTATCACATATATTCCGGTTTTTTTCGAAAAGTCAAAAACTTTTTGAAAAAAAATGTAGAAATGTAAATTTTGAATTTTATTATATACAATTTTCGGAATTTTCAAAATTTCGGAAATCCGAGATAGCAGTTTGATAGCGCAGTCTATTCTGAGTCCTCTCATGCAAAGAAATAGGATCTAGCTTTAAAACTGAGCCCTTGGGAGCGATTGCCGTGGTTCGATGTTTTGCGTCGAAATCGGCCGAACATGACGTCACTCTGACGTCATTTTCGGCCGACCTATGGTAGCTACGAAGTTTAAATTTTGACACAAGGTGTCAAATTGATGCAGCCGAAGGTACTGAAAGTTTGGCGTCGATACGTCAAGCGGTTTGGAAGTTATTGCAGAAAAACGGGAGGGGGGCTATAAATAGCCCCCCCCAGTGGGGCGCGGGTTAATGGACGTGGTGTATAATAGCCGTTTTCACGACGGCCATCTGGTACACATTTGGTTCACATCTGGTGCAGATTAGGTGCAGATTTGGTCAAATTAGGTTCAGTGTGTCTCTTAGTAGCTATTAGCTAGGGCTGGAATAATTGCTTATATGCCTGCTTTGTAATATTATCAGAGAGTATCATCGTTTAAAACACTGAAATAAATTCATAACATAAGGATATTTGCTGTAAAAGAGATAAGGTGCAGATTTGGTCAAATTAGGTGCACTCGCCGGATAGCCCGTCGTGAAAACGGCTAATACAAACCACTCATGCAGTGTTACTTACTTGACTTTGGCGGAAGTGTCGAGTACCTCCACCCGCTGGCCCTGTTTGAGGCTGATTCCTCCGGTGACGTCATCGTCCGGTGTGTACGCCTCGAAGGCCACGTATGTCTCGGAAACCTGCCGCAGCGGAGCACAGGGAGAAATGGCGTCAGAAACGTGATATTGCTGAACCCTGTCGCTCATTTCGTACTCGAAGAGAGTGATCTCATGACACGGTTTTATGTTTGAATAGATTATAGGCGCAATTAATAAGCACTTATAGTCTGGTTTCATGCAGCTATGTCGAAGCTATGTCCATCATGGTGGTTCTGATAGGCATAGGTAGGGGAGAGCGGGGCCAGTTGAAACACGGGGTCAGATGAAACATGGCTTTATTTTCAACAGTATGCAACATATGGCGTTGCCGACACCACTGCGCATCCGCTCTCGACCACTTCCTTTGTCAACGGCGTTTGGTCGGCAAACGGACGGTAATTTTGATTTGACACTTGTTTTTGTGTTTTTGAGGGGCGTTTGGGAGAAATCGTTTTTATGAATATTTTGTGATATCTCATATACCTTTGTTTGCTGAAAGAAGAACTCCTGGCTCCGGAATAACACCTTATTTGGCCCTTCATTCAGCATGATGCCGTCCCTCCAGCTCGTTTGACATGCGCTTTACGGCGCGTGCGAGATGGCGGGAGCGGATGGGGTCAATTGAAATGCTTCTCTGAGGGTCAGTTGAAACAGGGCCACAGGCCGTTTCAATGGACCCCGGTGACCTTTGCAATGGTTATTGTTCAGGGGCTGTAAACATTAAAGGAAATAGTCCACCTTTGAAATGAGCTTTTAAACTGAAATAGTAGTTTAATAGAGCTCAATTTTTGACCCCTTTTTCTCCAGCCTTTTGCTTGAAAGCACACTCTAGCCTGAGATATTTCTCATTTTTCTCATCCGCCCATTTTACCATAGTCTATGTACTTTATGTCACCTATTATGAGGAACTTTGCACTTTTAGCTTTCCAACGACCTATTGAATGTAGCATTTGGAAAAGTAAACCAGACAAAATATCTCCTTAACCTTCGCCCCAGTGGGGGGGGGGCATATGTTACCACCCTGTCGCGTTTTTTGCGTGTGAATAAAAAACCGCGGCGCGTAGCGCCGCGCCGCTTGGGGTAGCTTTTGGTACATCAATTTTGGACAATGTGTGAAATTTTTGACCCCAGGTCATGTCAGGTCAGGTCACCAGGTCAGGTTAACTGACCAAGCCTAAAAAAAAGTTTGCACTCATGTCCAGCCTGCAGTGTTTGTCAGAAAGGTTTCAAACATGGTGGATTGCATGCTGTTATGGGCGCCTACAATTTGTATATCTCGGATTTTTTATATCCGTGACCTAAGGTCAGGTCAGTGGCGAAACCTTTCCATTACAAGTCAATGGAGAAAAATGAAAAGGCCTCTAGATCCGTGTGTACGCATCGGAACAGTCCAAATATTTCAGAATCACAATGATTTAGTCCACTCGTGATGACCAAGGTGTCATTTTTGCTGATAGCCTCTAGACAGGTCATCCGAGGTCACTTGAGGCTACAAACAGTTTTTTGTCAATAACTCGCGATTGGAAAGAGATAGAACGCTGGGGATGGTCTCATTGTGTTTGCCTTGTTGAGACGCATCGACTGATATGCAACATGACCTTTTCCGGTAAGGTCATGACCTTGACCTGAGGTCAAATTTTCAACTTGACCTTTCAAGGTCAAATTATAGTTCATTCGACGCGTCTCGGCGAGAGGAACACGATTCTGGCAATAGAAATGTCGTGGCTTTTTGACGTCGAAAGTTATTGTCGAAAAACACTTTTCGTAAAAACAGCTATTTTTGGACTTTTTGCCCTCTGGAGGCTAAACCGTTGACCTGAGGTCAATATTGATAATGACCTTTTCAAAAGAAGAGTTCAAAAGCTATCGATTGCTTTTCCCTGCGTTATTCTAGCTACCATAGTTCCTGAGATAGCGGCATGTTTTCTGAAAAATATAATGACAATTGGCAAATTTTGACCTTTGATGACCTCTGGTGACCCCAATATTGCTCTAAGGTGAAAAATGACTGAAATACTTTCAAACGTACGCATTGAGAGCTATCGACTGCTTTTTACCGCGTCTTTCTAGCCCTCTTAGTTTTTGAGTTAGAGGTGGGTGGTAACATATGCCCCCCCTCACTAGGGCGAAGTTGGCTGAGACCGCCACTGGGGCGCGGGTTAAGAAAGTGGCCTTAAAGAGGAAAACATCCCATTGTTAAGGATAGGTGCAACTGACCCCATGGGCTGGTTCAATTGACCCTCGCATCGGGGTCATTTGAAACGGGCGTAGAGCTGTTTTATAAGCATGCGTTTGGCAGCAAAATATGTTTGAAACATAATTTTACATATCTTAAAATAAAGCCAAAGGAGCATATTTTTCCATGGCATTGTGCATTTTTCGATATGACAACTAGATCTCGCTGTGCATGTCAATATATAAAAAGTGGTTCAACTGGCCCCGCTCTCCCCTAGGTGTTGGGTATTTTGCCCCCCCCCCCCCGCACCGCTTTACCTCTGAAAGAATAGTCGAGAGAACCTAGCCGAAAAAAAACTCTAATGGAAACTTCCAGTGTTTCGGAGTCGTGGTAGCGCTGTCCCGACTCCGACTCCGACTCCGGGCTCCTGACCGACTCCGACTCCGGGTCTGATACGAAGGATAATTGCGGCCGCCAAAATTTCGCGTGATCTACGTGCACAGGGAGATCGTTCCTATATGTACATTCCGGTTTCGTTCATGCAGTCACCATTTCTTCCACGTGGGAGATACTGGAAGTTATAACGCGAATACAAAATGCTTGCCTTCTGAATTATGATATGATTTGGAACTTTGTAAGTTCTAATGTTTGTCATTCAGAACAAAAACATGATGCAAAATGACCGGAAGCGAATTCTACCGCGAGGCAGCTTGTTCGAAACAATTGATAAGTGATATCATGGATTCTAGACTCTAGCTAAGTTTCCGGAGTCGGAGTCGAGGCAGCTAGACAGCTAGACCGGCTCCGACTCCGACTCCGAAACCCTGAAAACTTCCACGAAGATATTTTACATTTTTCATAAGCGGCGAGCATTCGCGAGTCCTGTCGCTTGGGGATATTTCGCCCTGATACAAGTTACAACCCTCCTTTCCCCGTCTCGTGCAGTAGGCATGCAATTGTTTATAGTACATAGTCTATCTTTTGGTTCGTTTCTAGATGCCCCAGCGTCAATTGAACCAGGAACAAATACAATAAGTTTATATTTCGACATGAATTTCCACAGCGAATTATATCACTGGATGTCGCTATCGCAATGCTCAAGTAAAATATTGCTTGGAACGTTGAGGAGAGAAATTATTAATTAAAGATCGTACATTAAAAGTTCCCAAAACTAAAGTAAGTAAATTTTACCTGTTTGAGTTAGCCGGCCAATTGCCTTATTCAGTCACCGCTGACCAGTCCCACTCCCCCTAATCACCACGCCGCCACAATTTTTACCACTTACCGCCTGTTCACACTGCCCGCTGTCCCGTCAAACACGAACTTCTATACCCGTGCCGCCGCGGCGAATGACATAACGGACGTCTAATCGAGGTCCTCACTACACAGCAAACACTGATAGTGTGCGCTCTCCTAACCGCGTTCGCCTCTCCCGTTATCGTCACGGCACTGGAGAGCAGCTAGTCTCACGGGTGAAGCCACTTGACTGGACCACGTGGGCGAAACGGCTACACTGTTACCAAGTTCCCAGATTAAATTAGACATTCATGAGGCGTTGATACGCAGCGCAACAATGCATATGACCTGTGAACGAGGTCTGGACGCCAGCTACTCTGAATTAATTATTTGATAAGTTTGATAAGTCCCGGTTTGGCCGCTGCGATCGTATACAGCGCGTATTGCATAACCCTCGTAGTATTTGTCACCCTCGTAGCAGTTGGCGGTTTACATAATGCTTAAAAGTTTCTATTATATTTGATTGCATGTACAAAACAAATTTTAACTACGCTCAAGCAATTAAAGTATTTGTTATTTATATATCAAGTTTCATGCAACTACCTGGCCTATCTTTTAGAGGTGACTCAACTTGGCAACGGTACGTGAACATCGTCGATAATTGCTGACTATGTTGTGTGAGTGCGAGACGGGCATCTAATGACCTAGGGCTAAACCAGATTAAAATCATGCTTTGTTTAGATACCCACTCACTAATGCGTCTTCTTTTATTCTGTGTCGAAGGTTTCTCGCCGATTGCCGTTTCACCATGAAATGCCGATTCCCGATCGAGGTCGATCGCCACTGATGCCCATCCCACTGGTACAGCTCTAAATCGATTAGCATCGCAAAAATCTGCCCTTCATCGACTAACTAGACAAGCTATTTATAAAATACTCGGAACAGTGCTGTCTCCGCGTCTATTTTAACAACAGCCGCACTCATCTATGTTTTAGACACACCGATTAAACACAAAAGCGTCTCGCATCTAAGATCTCAACAAAATAACGAATATACAGTACGCAATAATCGTATGAAAACATGCATCCTCAGTTTCTAGCATTCATGTTCAATTGTGCACCCTATACGCTTTCGACTTTTGTTGGTAAATCAGCCTTCTCGGGGAGGTTCGCTGGTGGCTGTTTTGACTTCATATTTACCGGATCTGTATCAGTGGGCAGAATTGGGCTGATATCTGTTGTTTCTTTTATAGAGCTCACTTCATTTTTTGTCTCGTCAGCTTTACCAACTACGTCGTTGGTGTTGATACTTTTTGAGTCAGCAGCTTCTGATTCAGGTTCTTCCGGCTTTTTAGTCGAATTATCAGCTTTTATCACCTCAGTAGGAGGACCTCCCGACCCTAGTCCGACTTTCCTCGCCCTCCCACCAGAGCCTTTAACCGTTTTTCCTGCCAACGGAGGTTTACCCTTGACGCCCGACGCTGTTCCCTTCTCTTCAACCTCCACCTTATCAGATTTGGACTTTACCTTTGTCTTGGTGGGGGCTGGCGTCTCCTCTCCGTTGCCTATGTCGGCTGTTCCGTTAGTAATGTCACCGCATGGCACATTATCACCGGTGACCTCTCGCTGCGCCCACTGCGAGGCCCTTCTGAGTCTCTCCTCGCGGTGCGGCTCCACCTCACCCACTCGAAACATTCGCACACCGGTCTCGTCCACCAGCAGGTACTGCACGCCACCGTTGATGACATCGCGCGCCTGATCGCGAGGGATAATACCCTCAAAGTGCTGCTTCAGTATGACAACTGGCGGACGCGGCTGTCCCTCCTCGATGGCGTATACGTGTCGAGCCGAGTCAGCCACGATCTCATGGATGGCAGCCTCCAGACCAGCGGACGGTTCGCGCGTCAGAAGCTGCAGCACCTCTCCGGGGATGCAGGCAGCGTTGTGGAGCCGGCGACGTTTTGGACGGTCGTGTTCCGAGACGAGTTTGGCTCCGGAGAGGAAGCGCACCCATTGCAGGTTCTCGCGAAGTACGCTGGGGTACTTTGCCAGATCGTGGAGGTAGCTCTGGCGGCGCTCGTCGTGTTCCGCCAGCGTGTGCAGCATCAGCACGGTCCTCAGCAGCTGCGCACAGTTGGAGTGGAGTGGCAGCAGCAGCGCCAGTGCGGGGGAGGCCACGCACTGGCGCAGGAGACGGCCGGCGGCTGTCTCTCCCTCCAGTCCCGCCAGGCCGACCGCCTCATTCAGGAGGACGTGTTGGGAGAGGCCGGCGCGCTGCAGCGGCGTCGGGTCGCGGCAGGCGGTGACCACGCTGTCCAGGCGCCGCTCAGTGATGGTCATTACATAGCGGTGGATGCTGCGCTCCAGGGCTGACACGGCCGCAGGGTCAGACACCAGATCGGGGACAGTTGGGAGAACCTCCTGCAGCACCACTCGCACAAAGTCCTCATCACCGTACGCCACTGAGTTGAAGACGTCGTTCAGGATCACCTTTCCTGAGGTGAGGATGATGGCACTGACCATCTCCTGCCATCGCTCACGCTGGTCATCCACATGAGTGCGGCGCGGCATCTCCTTTTTAGTTAGATTCGCTAGACCAGAGAGCACATTATCCTGCGTCACCGCACGATCCAGTTCCACAGGCACCTGGCGCGCGACCTCCGTGAGCGTCTTCTGTAGTGAGACCTTGCGACTGAGCTTCCTGTTGACCATAGGCTGCAGCGGCCGGAACACCCCCTCTTCGCTGTAGCCAAAGAGACCGTCTGTCCACTGGGCGACCTCGTCACACGGACTGGGCAGTGCCAAACAGTGCTTCAGAAAGGCCGTGACATCCGATAGTGGCACCGGGTTATTCAGATCATCGGCAAGCACGCGCTGCACGCGCTTGGCCTCCTGCCGAAGACATTCCTTTGGCGGCGGCCGGCCGCCGACCGACGCTCTCGCCACTCGGGCAATGCAGTCGAGCAGGGTGGCGCTGACCGACTCGTAAACCTGACGTTTTGATCGAGGCGGGGGCGGCCGCACAACCGGCGCCGGGAGCATTTTGGCACGATGGCCCTTGGCGGCCAGTTGCAGCAGGTCGATCGATTCACGAATCGTTTGGCCCTCAAACGTCGGGGACGGCTCAGGCGAGTGGTATTGATACTGCACAAGGTCTAGCTCCAGCGGGTCCAGGTCGAAGCTTTGCACAACGTAGGTGATGAGCTCTTGTTCAGGTTCGGGATCAGCATCGGGTGCTATAAATCGTGGCCCTGTTTCTGTTTCGACAATTTGACCCGGCATGAACTGGCCGTCGATAACCCTACCTGGCACGAACAAGGGACCAGCTGCTGTTTTGTACACCGAGCCGGGTATGAATTTGAGACCTTGATCTGTGTGCATCACTTGACCCGGCACAAATACCTCCCCTATTTTCCCACCAAGGTTCACGACGTGGCCGGGCACAAACTGGACATCAACTCCCTCCCCTACGGTTTTCCCAGCCACAAACTGCGGCCCATGTTTCGTCGACACTGTCTGTCCAGGAACAAATTTCGCACCGGCTGGTAGATCAACTGCCTTTCCTGGCACGAACTCTTCTCCATCATTCGTGTTCATTATTCTTCCAGCGACGAACTCGATTCCCTTGTCGGTGCGCAGCACGCGTCCTGGAGTGAGCTTGGACTTCCCAGTCTTGCAGTCCGGGGAGATGCGTCCCTCGATCACGCTAGTTTCGTCCAATTCCTCCTCATTGACCACAGTTCGACCATCATCGGTCTGGATCACATACTCGGCTGACTCACCATCGTTAGGAAGTTGCAGCTTCGTCGGACGTTTCTTGCGACCTTCAGAAGCTGTCGGTGCTCCATTCTGCCTTCGTTTCACTTTATTCGCCTCCTCTTCGGCGTCCGCCTTTCGTAGCGCCGCCATGCGTTCACTATTCTCTTTAATTTTTCGTTGCCGAGCTTCTTTGGCCAACTTCTTTTCGTCTTCTTTTGCTGCCAGTTGTTGCCGCTTGCGTTGTCGTTCTTGCCTTTTCGCTTCTCTTTCTTGGCGTTTTGTTTCTAGGTCTTTCTGAATGGAAATCTCTTCTTCTTCCTCATCCTCTTTAGTTTTCTTTGTCTTTTTCGATGAATTTGAGTCTGTTACCTCTTCGCAACTTCCAGACTCGTCCTTTATAACATCAGTTTCTTTATTTCTTCTGCTTCTTTGATCAGTTGGCGTCGCGATGTCACTTGATTTACTAGACGCTCTACCTTTGTGGCCTTCAGTTGTCTTAGAGGACATCGGATCGTGTGATATCGTTCTTCTATCACCTTGAGCGGCGGTTGTCTCTGTACCATCTGATTTCTTAGCTTCTCGTCTCTTGCTGCCGCCATTGTCTTCGGAGGACATCGCCTTGTGCGACGTCGTTTTTCTACTACTTTCGGGAGTGACTGTACCTGTGGCACCTGATTTCGTAATTTCACTTTCTTTCTGACCTTTGGTGGCCTTTGTTGGCACTGCTTTACTTGATTTCGCTTCTTTTCCTCGTTTCTCCTTTTCAACGTCAGTTACTTCTTTGTTCGGCTTTTTCATTCGTTCAGCCTCCTCTTCCGCGTCGGCTCTTCTGAGCGCTGCCATGCGCTCATTTGTCTCATTTCTCTTTTGCTCACGAGCCTCCTTAGCTAAACGTTTTTGTTCTTCCTTAGCTTCCTGTTCTTCTCGCTTACGCTGTCTCTCCAGACGTTTCGCCTCTCTTTCTAAGCGTTTTCGTTCAAGTTCTTCCTGACGGTTAGGTTCTGCTTGGTGTGCTTCTTCTTCACCCTCCACATTCTTGTCTGTTAGATTTTCCAAGACATTTTCGTCAGCAGCCAACTTTGTCGTGCTTTCCGCTTTTTGGACATCCTGCTCCACGGGCCTCTCCTCTTCGCCGTTCGTAACAACTTCGATGGTAGACTTGCTGATCGCGTGTTTTTGAGTGGCAGACTCTTCACCTAGTTCATTTTGCACTTCATTCTCACTTTCAGACTCGGAGCAGCTAGACGAGGCCAATTCTTGATATTGCTTGACGCCAGTTTTCATAAGGGGACCGGGTGCCGCTTTGTTGGAAACTATCGTAGACTCATCTTCAGAAAGTTCATCACTGCTAACATCTCCCATCCCTTCACTGCTGTCATCCTCACTGACCTCTTCCTGTTCAGGTCGCATGTATCCATGCCCGTGGTCTGTCTTTGCTAGTGACTCTTCATCTTCATAGCATTCCTCTTCCATCTCATGATCTGTCATTTTCTCATCAGCTTCTGTTAGCTCCTCCTGTTCTTCCTCTTCTGCATCGTCCTCTTCTTCTGCCATCTCTTCTTTGTCCTGGTCATCCTCACTAGTATTGGCATCCTCGTGCGCCTCATCGGATGTAGCCGGCCTTCCACGTTTTATTTCAATAACCGGAGGCTCTCGCTTTTCCGGTTTCTTCATTCGTTCAGCTTCTTCTTCTGCGTCTGCCTTTCGTATTGCTGCCATCCTTTCGTACATTTCCTGCTTTTTCTGCTCTCGCGCCTCTTTTGCAAGTCTCTTTTCTTCCTCTTTTGCTTCTTGTTCTTCTCTTTTACGCTGACGCTCCAGACGTTTCGCCTCCCTTTCTAGTCTTTTCCTTTCTAGTTCTTCTTGACGAAGCTCTTCCATTTGCTGCTTTAGCAGTTCAGCCTCTTCTTCCTCACGACGTTTTTGCTCTTCTGCTAGTCGTCTTTCCTCCTCCAATTGTTCTTTTTCTTCTTCAGACAATTCTGGAAGGATTGGCTGCTCCTGTGGTTCAACCGTTGGCTCAGGGTCATTCACGACTTCTTGAATCGGTTCAGCAGATGTCGTTGGCAATTCATTACTCGGAGGTTCCTTAGATTTATCTTCTGGGGGCTTAACTTCATCATCGCTCAACTCGTATGATTCACTTTCCTCGTCCTCAGTATCCTCATTTTCATCTTCATCTTCTTCCTCGGATTCAGCGAATTGCTCCTCAATTGCTTCCATCGCGGTCTTCGAAATCATTTCGACAATTTGTTTAGATGACATTCCTGTATTTGCTGCCTCTTCCATTTCTTGGAGTAGTTCCTTGTCTCCGTCATGCTCTCTCATGTGTTCTAAGAGCTCATTAACTGACATATCAGCGGGGTTAACGTTAGCCAGTGCGGCAGCAGCTGCTTCCTCTTCTGCTCTCCTGGCTTCTTCTTCAGCCCTCATCCTCTCCTCTTCTTGGCGAGCCTTCTCTTCTGCTTCACGCGCCAATTCCTCAGCTCGTCTGGCTCTTGCTTCCGCGTCCTTTCGCTCCCTCTCTGCCAGTTTGGCCTCTCTCGCAGCAGCCTTTGCGGCCTCCGCTTCGGCCCTCACCCTTGCTGCTTCTTCATACTGCCTTTTTATTTCCTCGTCCGTCTCCCTCTGCCGCCGCTCTGCCTCTTCGTTTTCGGCCATCTTCTTCATCATCATTTCCTTCATTTTCTCTTGCTTGCGTTTCTCTCGGTCAGCTCTCTTTTTCTCCATTTCATGCAGGTAAAGCGCCATCTGGTCTCTGTTCTCCTGCTCTTTGGCGGCCTTCTCACGTCTCTGAGCCTCGATCACCTCCCGGTCGGGACCCTGTCCATCGAACAACATATCATCCTCCACCATCCTCTCGATCTGGGGCTTACTCATCTTATCCATAGGAATCGTGCACATGGGACCGTCGTGTAGGCGCACTACCAGACTGTTGGAGTCACCAGACAACATGATGCTCTCAATGGTACCGGTTCTGATCGCCTCCTCGTATGTGTGCGGTACCACGATTCCCGCCTTACCCGTTCGCCGATCATGCAGAGTGTAGACGAAGGATTGCGATGGATCTAGTTGTGTTTCGCCACTCATCTTTTCCACCAACGATTCCATTACTGCTTTTTCTCCTGGATTTGCTAGACGACTGAGAAAGGGTTCCATGTATCTCAGTTCTTTTCGATGGCGATGCACCCGTTTGGTTTCTGTGTTCTCCTCGGGTAGTGGAACGGGACGCGATATGCTCTCAGCCACGTGCCCAGTGATCTTGCAAGACTGCACACTCAGACCCTTACCCTTACCGAACTCAATGATGGGCACATAGTTATGATCCATGTGAGAAGCCATGGTGATTCTGCAGCCGAACAGCTGAGCCTGCTCGTTTTGAGAGAGCACCGGCATTATTGGGATGAAATACGGCGCTGGCTGACCTTTGGCCAGGCCAGTGACCTTGCAGTAACCTGAGCTGAACACAGCCATTTTGGAGGATTATCCTGGCTTGATTGATAACAGAACAGTCGAGTTACTTCGCGAAAGCAGAGTGCACAAATGAAAGGCTATTCGTACAGACTAGACTCATGAAAATATGTGTCTAACAGCACAAGTTTTCCAGCATTGAGCGAGCCTAAAATCTCGCTTACATAATCCTCATAATTACACTCTACAATAAGCGACCAAACATTGGTCTTGAACCACCCTCGAATTAAACGGATTTCAATTTCATTGTTGATACTATGCGTAAAATGCTAGCCAGTTTCACGAAGCTGAGTACGTCACCGATCAGTCCCTGGTTACTGTTCTCCGTAGTTCGTTACACTTTGCACTGGGCACTGAAGTTCTCAGTCCGTCACCAGTGATTGGTTTCTGAATGATCTTGATTCCGATCCAGTCCACCAGTAGTTGATGTAGTGCCCCGCGGGCCACTGATGTAAGTGTTCCACAAGCGTGCAGTGGTATCTCAAGTCGATTTCAGATATTCTCGCCTCAGCAGCACCAGTCAGCAATCTCGATTTTCCAGTCACTAGTCACGAATCACCAGTTAGTCAATAATCCACCGCAGTCGACACCAGAGACCACCGTGTCTCCTCCGGGACCGATCCGTCCTCCTCAGCGTCCGCTGCTCTCCGAGCCCCGCTCGACACCGGGCGACTGACTGTCTCTCCTGCGTGACACCTCGCGTCGCCGCGGAATCCGTCAGATCGACCAAAATACCGTCCCGGTGCGCCCTCCTCCGCGCACGAGCACCCTCTCACACCTCCTCCACTCCGAGGAGACGAGGAGTCTAGCAAACTGAGAAAGTTTGTCGCAGGTCTCTCAGTCGACACGAGAGTTGGACTGAGCGCTCCAGCGAGCGTTGTCGCCGATGATACCACCGTCGAGGACGATGCGGGACTGTCGAGATGTGAACTCGCCGCCAAAATACCGGCCGGATAGCCACGAGACAGGTCAGGGGCGTGGTCATCAGGAGGGCGGTGGCGACAGCCCTCCCCGGCCGAGGGCCGGAGAATGAGCAGAATGTGAAAAAGGAAACTTGTACGTCGCCACTCACTAATTTGGCATCGTGGACAGCATTTGTTGCGCGTTTTCTGGGTGATTCTCTCTGCTCCTCCGCCCCATGACCTTGGGTCGGAGTGGATGGTCCGTAGACAATGACGACAGCTTGGCAAATGGATGTCTCTGTCTCGACGGCACGCTATGCGCGCTGAGGTCTTTACCACTCAAAGCCATTTGTTCGGACGGCAGATCGGTGTCAGAGTCGCTACAAAGCTGACGGCCTGGGAAGGGATGAGGCGGTCCATGGTGCTAGAGAGTAAAACACGCTGGCAGTTAGAGACAGCTTTCTGTCATGAGGCGCAACAAATGTGTCACGCATCCGTCACGTTAAATTGAAAAATGTTTGGCGTTTGCCGTTTTAAGGGAAGAAGCTTGCCGTTTTTTAGTTATTCAAATCGCTCAGAAGCGCATCAGAAAGCGAATCCTGGGTTTGTTCAACTCGAAAAGGCTTTTTGGAGAGCATCTCGAATGCCATCGCAGCGGCAGTTGCCACCTTTCATTAGATGCGAATGGCAGCCTACAGCTGTACCGGGCTGTTCAAACTTTTTTTCAATAAAACATTGCTTTCACGTTTGCGACATTGTAAGAAAAGAAAAATGTTTCTGTCTGCGGACAACTATCCACTGAAACTTATCTTAGCCCTCACTGCCACCGACAGCCCGGGAGCCCCAGCAGCGGGCTGGTCGTAGCGGGCAGCAGTGGACGGGCGGGCGGTATCGGCCCGCGCCTCACATAGCTGACACTCCAATCGAGCTGAGCTCAGCGTCTCGCGGCCCGCGCTGCTGACCGCCGCCCAGCGCCGCCCAAATTCTCAAGGACACCGGAACTGGGACAGCCGAGAGCTCGCGCGCGCGCGCATTGGCAAACGCGCGCCGGTTTTGTCGCGCTGGCGCCATTTTGTGGCGCCGAGGGTGGCTGTTGACAGGTGATGCGTGGTCATCTATCAGAAAATGGACGCCGTAGGAGACGGTTGGCATTCAGACTGGGATAGAGAACCGGAGAGAGCGCAGAAGCTGTCGAATGGTGTTGTAAAAAGGCGAGGAACGTTTCGGCTATGGTATGTGAAATCCATCAACTAGCTGCGTGTGCAAATAATAAGCGGCAAATAATAAGTGAAAATATGGTAGGTAAATATACCTGCATACAGCATAGGAGACTAAGATTCAAGAAGGTAGCTCCCAATTTTATATAAAGTGATTTACAAGTTAGCGTATGTATATATTTATATGCACTACCTTGCACTACACTACGTTGTTATCGCCTGTGATACCTGTGAAAAGCAATTGGCGATATGCCCAATGTCCGTTTAATCAATATACCTACCTATAAAGAATCGGTTGAATTTCAATTGGTTATTTAATTTGTGCTACTTACCACTGCAGCTGAACTTAACTCGGATAACTAAACAATTATCTGGGATCGCGCAGCGCGCAGTAGGCAGGGCCCGAATCCGAATGTCTAGCCTGACACACTCTACCAACCTGTCAGGATCTACAGGTTAGCCCAATGCTTATCTGACAGGGTCTGAAGATTTAATTTGGCACGAGTGTTTGTTTGGATCCCGGCATATTTTTCGTTTTTTATTCCATTTTAAAGCATTGCATCATTCTGCCACAATTAGTCATCACCTTGGTCCTATTTTTGTTCATCCTACTTAACTTTTTGTTTCCCTTTATCTGTCTGGCGGCAAAGTTTGCCCACAATGACGTTACTGTCATTTGATGACGTCACTCTTGAGGCACGCGCGGCGCGTCGTGCCGCCGGCGTGGTTTGGCCCTCCCCAGTGGACGCCTCTCCCTCCCTAGCGAACGATAGGTGACGTTTCTCCATCTCTGTGACTATAGATAGAATGCGGATGGGGTCGGGACGATCGGGAAGCAGCACGAGACGACACCATCGCTGTGTGGGTGTCGCAGTGTCAGTAGCGATCTAACTTCTAGCGCTAGTAACTTAACGAGTTTATATGAGTCAGTAGATTAGTGCAGTATATTTCGTATTGGATCGTTACTTTTATTTGAATAGGTCTGAGCCTAATTGATTCAGGCGAACATCATCTCGACATTTCACAAAGAGGCAGTAGTTGTCCGGTGCCCGTATTGGTCGCAACTCACGATGGCGCCAAGGCGTCAGAACTAAAAGTGGTTTCACCAGTGCTGTGGGCTATGGTAGTGCCCACTGCCCAGATAGTGACAGCGCGAGTCCCGCGGTGGTGCCCAGGGAGCGGTGTCGTCGGTCTTGGCGTGCCTAGGGAGAGGCTACTCCGGTGGTGTCGAGCTGTCAGTTGGTGGTGATCCGTTGGGGCCGCTGCCACTGCTAAAGGACCACTATCATAGGCTCCGTGTCTTAGCTCTAAGGCAGGTTTTATCCAAGTCAAAGCCGTTCCCTTGTTTTGGACGGACTTATTTATCTGTAAGCAAGGCATTGTTCAGGCAAGATAAGCATCCCATACAAGAAGTAGGTACTGAAGTTTTGGACGAAGTTATGGATTTGAAAAGAGATCGTCGAAGCTATCGGAGTCGTGTCATCAAAAAACCGTCGACTCTCCATCGTTGTCGCAAAACTAGAACGCACATTTCGATGCCCAGCTGAACGTGCGCTCCTTTCAACCACGGCCACTAGATGGCAGTGGTGTATTACGCCTGAAAGGATGCTGCGCCGCACGACTCGCTTCACTACAATCATGACTGCCGCGGACTGTATCGAGATGCGCGCTCATGCGTTACGAACATACCACGGTCCGTCCGACGCCCATCTGTCACGGAAATCGGGACGCGATCGTCATTAGCGTCAGTTTGACTGACAGTGGCGCCGGCCGTGTCAAAAACGGCCGAGTGGCGTGGCCGTGACTGAACTCAGTGACTGCGACAGACGCAAATGAACGTGACCATGACTGACGAGACAGACCGACACTCGTGATAACACATGTGAGGGAGGATGTGTATGTGTGTTTGGGTGTATGAAGGGGGGGAACGGGGGTGAATTCGCTTTGTGTGACAGAATCAGCAGATGTAAAGATTTTCCGCTCACAATAACTTAACAATGACTGAACCGATTGTGCTGATACTGATCCTTCGTTAGGCACGATGCTTTCTATGTGTTACGGTAGGGAGCTATTGATTAACTACACATGCCATCTACCACAAAGTCGTCTACCCTTGATACACATGGGTCACCGTTTCATCGCATAGGAGTGAGACCACGTTATGAATATCTGACGTCTCCTTTTTCTGTCTGTTACAGGCGCCGGTCAAAATGGAGCCGTGGTCGTGGCGACTACATGGCGGTGACGGCAGCGGCAGCGGCGGCGGTGACGTTGGTGACCGAGGAAACGGCCAGAGCCCGTTGAAGAGTGTGAGGCAACAGCATAGGGGCCACTGGCTCCATAGAAATCGGTAGGAGTGACCACAGTGGGTGGGACACGGTCGCGGGCACGTCGTCAGATATAGAGTGGCGTTCTACGGTCGGGTAGGCTGCAATGGAGGGTACCAGGCGTTGCATGGCGTTTGCGGCAGACAGGGGATTGTGGCTGATGGCACTGTCTTCTGTGAAAACGACAGTATATCGTTCCATAGTCAGCTTCATCTGCGACTCATCGGCTACACTTCAGCGACTCTCCACCTCTCCCGGATGCAGCACTCTCTCGGAGTCACCTGCGGCCGTCTCTTTGTGGACTTCAAGAGCGACGCGAGCGGCGCCTGTGGCGGCCTCTGCAGAAACCTAGGCGCCACATCTGATGGTTGGCCACAGTCATATTTGCGATCTCCCCATGCGGTGCGTCCACCCGCCCTAAGCCGTCATTTATTTCGGCGACAACCCTCAAGACAACCTTTACTCTCCAAGCGTCGCGAGCATGACAGACCAGTCAACCCTGTGGATGACGCGGCTGCTACTAGGTGCGCCTGTGTCATGAGCTCTAAAAACTGTGTGATCAGCTGGAGTTCATTGAGGGGGTGAGGACATTGGTCTTCAGCGTTGTGCCCCGTATTGGGCTCACGCACTAGATTCTGGGGCCTCCAAGGCTCTCTCACCTCACAGATATGGGAACTTGCCTATCAGTGCGATCGCCGATTCTGTGGCTTGGAGGACCTCATTGAGGCTGGCAATACCTCGGATTTGAGAATACATGCGATGGACGTCGTTGTGAACTGAGTGTCACTCCTGCCTTGCCGACGGAGTCCGACCCGGTCGCAGGGACGCTGCACCAGCCATATTGGCCATCGGAAGAACATCAGTGGCTTTCGCGCAATATTCACCCCTACGAGAGGGTCCAGGAAATAACCTGGAAACCAAGTGACAGCTAAAGCCATTTCGGCTCTCGTCCTCAATCGATACGATTCCACCAGCTACCGAGTCGACAGCCGCCCTGTTCAGACAGGCGGAACAGCATCATCCGTGTAACTGTGGCAGGCTGTCTGGCATGGACGGGCAGGCTGCCGATGGGCTGAGTCACCAGAGTCGTCATTTTTGTGCATGTAAGCGTGTAACTGTAGCCATTTGTTTATTATTGCTCCTTCTGAGTAGGTAAGGGAGTTATGTAAAAATACAGAAAAAATCGTTAATCGTATAGTCGGACAACAACTCCTTCTGGTCACAGGAGCTAGTCAGCGGTCCAGTACCTACCTACTCCGTTGGTTGGCTGGTTTTGGATTAAGCACCATATCCGTGGACTAAGTGCTAACCGGAACTCTCACGCTGTTTCAAGCCGCCAGGCAATGCCACGTGTATTGCCCAGGAATTGAGCCCGTATGGCTGAATCTAGAGGCAGGGACTATGACCGGAATGCTCCCCGTAGCACTTACTCCATGGTTTGAAATCAGCTTCCTGATTGTGTTAGATCGTGATTGAGCTATGCCGGCCGTCTAGGATGGACGTCATTGACACCGTCACGCATTTTTCTGAGGTCGGCCAGAGGCCAGGCTCCTCGACCTAAAGGATGGTGTTACTGTCAAACAGCGTTGGGTTCCATAACAGTGACCGAGGTACCGTACTTCTGTGTAATTGAGAGGAAGGGGTATGGCTATTTATGCATGAATATATTGATTGGAGACAAGCCATAGCGCATTTGAGCCTCTATGAGGCATCCTTGGAGAAAACTGTCGCGCTGTCTTTACGTGTGTCTGTACTGACGTTCGGTAGTGCTCCGGGGAGTCTATTTTAGTGACGGACCGGTCAGGAGCTAACAGAGACATCTGGCCGAGGTGGGTGAAGCTCTGCTGTGAAAGCAAGCCGCTTCTCCGTCCCTGGCGCTACTTGTTCCGTGGTCGGAACGTCTTGGTCGGAGAGTTTTTCATGGAAGCGCCACCCAACTATACATAGAGCCGTTCCCCAAGTCTTCAGAAATGTGAATAGTATACCGACATTTCTTATCCCAATACCAACTTGGTTATGGTGCTTCAATTTTATTTTGTGTTATTTTTGGTCCGGTGTCATCGACAATGCCTCCGCTAGGCTGCGAACTATGAACATTATCAATTCTGACCTTTACTTTGTCACGTAACCCTAAAATTAAAAATTCAGGATTGCATTTAATGCGTCTTGGTGAGGTCTTTCCAACGTGCCCTATTTCAAGATAATATGAGGTAGGGTAGGGACAATCAAAAGTTCTCATTTCACAATCAATGGCGTCTTTTGGTGCGGGTTAAAGGCATTAGGCAGTTAAGCAACTCTGAACTTGACGCAACTTACACACAAAAAAAAAAACGATTAATAGAAAAGGCTCATTCGCTAGCAGCAACCTAAGGACACCACCTGTCGTGAAGAGGCAGTCGTCTGCTGGTTCTGTTCCCTCTTCAGCGCCCTCATCTGCCGCAGCGTCATCCCGATGTTGTGCACCAGCTCCACTTCCTTCTGCTGCTTCTCCTGTGTCCCGCCAGCGCAGGATGGGGTTAGAGCGAAATAAAAACGATGAAAGCATAGCCACGAACGCAGAGACAAGACGGACGAGAAAGTTCATTGCTCGCTCGGCAAACAATATTTATCCATGCTTCATGCTTTAGTTGTGTTTTAATGTTTATTGTTAAGTAAGGTTTTATTGGATGTTTACTCTAGATTTGAATGCACCAGAATGGTAGTTACAATGAAAAGAACAGCAAATAGTCTTAATTGACATTTACCGTGGATTGAGGTTTATTGGTTAGTTTCCTGAGTTTGAGATAAGTCGCCTGAGATAAATTGCACAATCGTTAACATATAACACTATCATCCCCTTACGGTAGCTGAGGAGGTGCTGATCTCAGAGACCTCCTCGTGCACGGACATCTCTTCTGATTGGTGGACGGTCTCTGACGTAACCTTGGTGCCATTTCTGCTAACAGCCGAACTGAGCTCAGAGAGAAAACCTGATGAAAAGATAGGTAATTAGACGCACGGTTTGTATTCGACAAGTAAAACACTGCGTTGCAGACCTACCTATCATAGACCACTATATATCGTATATATAGTGATCTATGTACCTATCCTTCCATTCGTTTCTTTTTGTGTGTATTTATGCTGTATCATACATTTACCGGTATATGGAAACTACCACTGTGGTCATGGATAAATCTTGAGGTGCGATTAATCACACAATAAAATGGCTCCCAATCTAATATCTTTCAAAGGCAATCAGCAAAGCTGCACCAAAGCATCATCAAGATTTGTTATCCATGCCTACGTCTTGCAACATTTGGGAAACATATTCATATTCAATCACATGGACAGTGCCTTTCGCCGTGATGAGCTGTACATAGGAGAAACACTGCAGTCACGTGACCACACTCCTGCTGACCGCGCCATAGTCCGTGATGAAATGAAGGAGAAACACATTCAGTCACGTGACCACACACCTGCTGACCGCGCCATAGTCCGTGATGAAATGAAGGAGAAACACATTCAGTCACGTGACCACCTACCTGCTGACCGTGCCGTAGACCGAGACGAACTGTAGGAGAAGGACGACTGGGAGTGTCGAGACCCGGACATGACGCCACCGGACGCCGACCTGCAGGGAGATACCGTGGAGCGGTCAGTGGCACGTATCGCTTCACAGCCGTCATATCTGGCCTGCTATGCATTTTGGAGTCGACGCTCTATAGCCGTTGTAAGCACAAGGGTTCACTCATTACACATTTTACCGGGTTTTAAACCTGAGCGTGCTCCTGTATTTCTGCTGGCACCAGTTGGATGTGTGCACTTTCCCAGAAAATGGAAACTATAAGACATCCTGCATTCATCACTCAAGATGCTCCTGAACGTTTAAGATCTGAGGAAAACTCATGTAACTGGTTCAGCGAGCCGTGTTTCCGGTCCTATCTGCACGGATCTCAAATCTCCGGGCTGTTCTGCAACAGAGCCTCCCCTTATCTCGCCCGAGGGTGCGGTTGGCAGTGGTCGGTGGAGGGAAGGGAAGGTGAACACTGAACAGGTTGTGCATGAAGACGGTAGGCGGTTGCCCACTGTGGAGGGTGGTCGTTGGACGCTGCACGTTAGTAGATATCCAGCGTCCAATTATGGATGTTGAGCAGTGCATATATGCACGAATATTGTAAATATCCAACTACTTTTCATATGTAGTCCGCTATCCGTTCGGGGGGCAAAGGACTCAAAGTTATCTGCTTTTTCGCAGATAACTTGGAAACGGCCGCGAATTTTGACTCGCCGTTTCCAGTACCTTTCCGGACATCAACCTCTGTTCTTCACACATGGTCTAATTAGAGGTTTTAGATAACAAACTGCCCGACAGTGGAAAGTGGATCGCATTGGACGGAGGGCAGTGGATGGTGGACGTGAGATGGTGGACGTTGGGTGGTGGGAGTGGACGCTGGGTGGTGGACGGGTTCGATGGATTGTGGGTCCACAATGTGGACGTGAGATGGTGGACTGTGGACGGTGGACTGGCGGACGGTTGCCGGTGGGAGACAGTCGGCACGCCCACCGGGATACAGCCGGGTCGCTCCCAGCTGGCATGGTCACCTCATTTTTGGCGCGCCAACTCGGCTGCGGTGGTGGCGCCAACTCCTCTCTCCTCTCCTCTCCTCTCTCCACTCTCTCCCTCTGTCCCTCCCTTGACTTGAGAGTGCTCTCCGGAGATCACGCAATTGAATTGAAACTCACCTCTAAAGAGATACGGACCTGAATGTTTTTGGACGCGGTAAGGTGTTGGCTGGAGGCATCGGAGTTCTGATGTGAAATAGGTGTCTATCGTTAGAACATTATGGCGTTTAGCCTCTTATGTGGTGTCCATATTTTTTTGTTCGGTGAAAATTTCTTTTCACACTTTTTTTGCTATTTCCCTTTTCCAAGAATTATCCCCTCCCCCGCATCTGCTTCCAAATATAGATACAACATCACCTTACCTTTCGACAGCTGTGGCTGGGATGGGAGAGAGGGGGGGGGGGGTAATGGCAATCGGTTACCAGGACTGTAATAAAGCTCTTTATCAGTCTTTTGCCATTTGCTGTTGCGCTTGTGATGCAAACAATAGGTACTAAATGTACCTACAGTAGCACGAACTCCACGAATTCCTACCGGTCTAAATCATTCGTCTACATGCAAAACAGCTATGTTGGCCACTAAAAGGCACATGTTTCTTACTAATGGTGTATTCCGCTTTACATTGTTTGGATGTCCATTCAGTCATAAATAATTGATACATTTTACGAAGGAAAACGTTATACTCAAAGCCACTAATGTTGTTTAGTGTTTTTTTTTTTTCTATACCTAGAACGCTCTCGATCTCCTGACTCCATAGGCATTTGAAGAAACACGGTCTGTGTTTTAAGAAAACAATAAACATACAAGGATGGGTCCTAAAAGCAGCCACGCTCGGTCCTCGAACGCCGTAGGTAACCCATCAATTGATGCATTCGGTTAAAGCAGCTGCGAATTGACACCCCTGAACTTATGTGCGGCCTGGTCCAAATATCTTCAACTGTTTTTTTTTTTCATTTAGACGTAACTATTCCAAGTTTGAGTTTTTACTTTTGTTCATAGCCAGGGTTCACTCGCTCCTCTCGGGTCATTCCAAACGTCATTCACACCGGAGTCCCGGCCAAAACCAGCATCGAATCAAGATCAGGGCCGCTCTAGCTGATCATGGCCCCGTTCCAGCGGCCTGTTACTCATCCGCCTCTTAGCGCTTCATTATGAAATGAACACCACGCCAGATCCTCCAGAAATCGAATCACGGTACACCATTTACAGATCTCCAGCTCCAGCTTCGTGACATGGGCATTATTAGCTGGAGTCACACGACCCCCTACCGATACCCCCTGGCAAGTTGGTGACCGTGGCTCGGAGGTTAGGTTTGGGTTGGCAGCGACCGGCACTCGCATCGTCACAGACGACGGCGGCGGCAGCGTCGGCGGCGACGGGTCTCAGCCGTCGACGGCGGCCCGTCCTTGGCCCGCGAGGCTAGGTATCTCTGCCGGACGCCGCGCTCAGCTAACTGCCAGGGGGAGGGGAGGGAGGGGGGGGGGGGGTGCATTTGCCAGACCGGGGCCGAGGGCCAGCGAATAGTACTGGCGACTGGCGACTGTCGTGGTGGCCGCTGGCCGGTGCCAACTGAGAGCGCCGCCACCGGACAGTCGGTGCCGCCCGCAGGAAGATGCAGAAAAATGTTTTGTCTGTTTAATTGTGTAGTTTTCTTGACCTTTCTCTCAGCGCCTTCTTGCCTTTTAATTTAACGATTTGACTATGAAAACCGGGATGTTATGGCAGTCGTAAAATTTAATCGTAAGAGTGCGCCATCTTATGTAGGTATGCGTGAACGCTGATTACAGAAACATGTGCCAGAAATGCGAATCCTAAAAAATTGTTATCCTCACAGTGATATGAACCGATCAAAATATTGTGTAACTTAACAAATTATGAACTAAACTAGCGCGCATTTAGGAATTAAGTTCATGGCATTTAGCTACATACCTACGATGCGTAATTACTTGCACTCAGTCGCCCTGCCCCCTCATCCCCAAGGATCGCAGGTAAGCTGTGTTTGTATAAGTTCACGAAGCGCTGACACTGGGGCTCTCCCTCAGCCTTCAGTTGGAGAGTGGGGACGCAGCGGATTACGTCACCGGAGAGCGACTATTCCGGGCGCGGTGCCGACTTTTTTGTGACGCAACGTCGACAAACGCGGCGATCACAGGCCGAGGAACGGCTCTCCGCGGCAGGGACCGAGGAGGCATTGTTTGTAAAGGAAAACAACATCAAAAGGAAAAGCGTTATTACAGGATGCCGACAATGAGTACCTACAGCGAGTTATCTAAAAACATTATTCAGTTTGCAGTAGTGCACCGTCGGATACTCTGGTCCATGGACGCAAAAGAAAAAGAAAAGAAATTAGAAAAAAAGATATTGCGCAGCTGTTCGCCCGGAAACCAATACCTATGCAGCGGTAGCTCTTCTGTCAAATTGCCGCTGCCTGACGGATCATTCACCAGCACTGCACCTTGCTGCTCTCCCGTGACACGTGCCCCGGTCGGGTCTGTATATTTACACCTGCGTGCGTCGCCCCCATTATTGTGTCTGGACAGGTCTGCAGTCAGTTTACTCCCCGGCGCTGCTAAGCGAGGGTAATGATAGGCTGACGACGGCACTGCTAGGGAAAACTCTGTACAACACAAGCATTAGCTGGGTTCAGTACTAGTTCACTGCAATGTGACCTGGGCGCAGACCAAACTGTGTGAACGGTCGGCTTGGACTGTGAAGCAGACTGCTGTTGCCTTGTCATCTGTAAGGTGCTTTTGAGAGTGATTTCATTGAAGCCTTTGTGTGTATTATCTCATGTTTTCCAGCTAGCTACAGGGTGTCCCGAAATTGATGCGCGGTTGTTTTATCCTCAATAACTTATGAAGTGCTTGAATTTATGTCACGGCTTAAATGTTATCATAGTCCCCATTCAGTTGCATACGCGGTCTATTGTACTCTAGCGTGTCACGTTTCAGGTTGTCAAGAGTCTCTCCTTTGAATTTACGCCATGCCGCTTATGTCTTCTGAAACAGCAGCCTCTTCTCTGAGCTAGCCCGTGGGAGCTTGCTGAGCTCTTTTCTGACGATCGGTCAGATAATTTGGATCGGGGACAGGTCCAGACTGTTGCCAGACCATGTCCCCTTCTCCCAGAGGCCTAGGAGCCTCGCTCGGCACCAGTCCTGGGTCTTCCTGGCGTGATAAGCTGGAGCCCTTTCTTGCTGGAAAATGGCCCTGGACATGTCCGACAAAAGTTTGACTCTGGTTTTTGAACCATTTACCTTTTCCCCCAGCATCTTTATGGCAGCAGTCTTCTTCAGCACCTCGCTGACATAGTAATTAGCAGTCCCGGTCTGTCCCCAAGGCACCTCGTGAAGCTCAGAGAGCCTCTGTAGCTCATCATGCTCCAAATGAAATTCTTCAGCAGACGTTTCACCGTCTCGACAGCGGACTCCTCAGAGCTGCCGTTGGCCTACATTTCGATCGTTCTGGCAGTTAGGGGCTTAGAGACCACAAAGGGCACCTCGTCACTAAAAAGGACGCATCTCCAGTTCTGAATGATCCAGTTTTTGTGGGTCTTGGCGAAATCCAGCTGCCTGCACTTCTGGACCACGGTAAGCCAGGTCGGCATCCTGAAGCTGAGCAGCTTCAGCTTCAAGATAGTCTTCAAATACTGGTGGAGGGTCGATTTGGATGCAGGGACATGCATCTCATTCAGTTTTCTTGTCAGCGATGTTGAATGGCGCTTTTAAAGGTCGACCGATCCCCACCGCGCGGTAGCGGATCGGTAGTTTGTGCCTTTTCACTTTTGGTGATATGCAGTTTCTCCACGTTGCCTGTCTGGACAAGAGTGGCCTCCCGCGCCCATTACCGGCCGTGGTCGGGTTAGCCGCTTGGTTCACGTGATCGTGTGAACAGCAAGATGTCAGTGGTGCCAGAGCCGGTAAAATTGCAGTTCAGCACTCGGGAGGAACAACATAACATTGCGGCACCAACCGCGCATCAATTTCGGGACACCCTGTATGTGTGCCGACA